TTTCGACAGAATACAGACCACTTCGAATTATTTTATTCGATTAAGCTAACGTGCCTATCACGTTGAGGTTGGCTACGCCGGGATTCGTTTTCAGCAAGTAGATATCCACACAAGTGGACCTTGTTGGAGCATACGTAATCCTAAAATGTAGCATCGTGCTACAGATGGCGTTTACTGCGCCATTTGTAGTATTTTCTAAAACGCACTGTTAAGACAGCAGGTAAAAGTTGGTCTGTGTTCTGTCGGAGCTGCCTGCGACGCGCTGATGAGATCCAAAAAGATCGAAATCGCGATCCGCGTCTGGCAGTTTCGACAGAATACAGACCACTTCGAATTATTTTATTCGATTAAGCTAACGTGCCTATCACGTTGAGGTTGGCTACGCCGGGATTCGTTTTCAGCAAGTAGATATCCACACAAGTGGACCTTGTTGGAGCATACGTAATCCTAAAATGTAGCATCGTGCTACAGATGGCGTTTACTGCGCCATTTGTAGTATTTTCTAAAACGCACTGTTAAGACAGCAGGTAAAAGTTGGTCTGTGTTCTGTCGGAGCTGCCTGCGACGCGCTGATGAGATCCAAAAAGATCGAAATCGCGATCCGCGTCTGGCAGTTTCGACAGAATACAGACCACTTCGAATTATTTTATTCGATTAAGCTAACGTGCCTATCACGTTGAGGTTGGCTACGCCGGGATTCGTTTTCAGCAAGTAGATATCCACACAAGTGGACCTTGTTGGAGCATACGTAATCCTAAAATGTAGCATCGTGCTACAGATGGCGTTTACTGCGCCATTTGTAGTATTTTCTAAAACGCACTGTTAAGACAGCAGGTAAAAGTTGGTCTGTGTTCTGTCGGAGCTGCCTGCGACGCGCTGATGAGATCCAAAAAGATCGAAATCGCGATCCGCGTCTGGCAGTTTCGACAGAATACAGACCACTTCGAATTATTTTATTCGATTAAGCTAACGTGCCTATCACGTTGAGGTTGGCTACGCCGGGATTCGTTTTCAGCAAGTAGATATCCACACAAGTGGACCTTGTTGGAGCATACGTAATCCTAAAATGTAGCATCGTGCTACAGATGGCGTTTACTGCGCCATTTGTAGTATTTTCTAAAACGCACTGTTAAGACAGCAGGTAAAAGTTGGTCTGTGTTCTGTCGGAGCTGCCTGCGACGCGCTGATGAGATCCAAAAAGATCGAAATCGCGATCCGCGTCTGGCAGTTTCGACAGAATACAGACCACTTCGAATTATTTTATTCGATTAAGCTAACGTGCCTATCACGTTGAGGTTGGCTACGCCGGGATTCGTTTTCAGCAAGTAGATATCCACACAAGTGGACCTTGTTGGAGCATACGTAATCCTAAAATGTAGCATCGTGCTACAGATGGCGTTTACTGCGCCATTTGTAGTATTTTCTAAAACGCACTGTTAAGACAGCAGGTAAAAGTTGGTCTGTGTTCTGTCGGAGCTGCCTGCGACGCGCTGATGAGATCCAAAAAGATCGAAATCGCGATCCGCGTCTGGCAGTTTCGACAGAATACAGACCACTTCGAATTATTTTATTCGATTAAGCTAACGTGCCTATCACGTTGAGGTTGGCTACGCCGGGATTCGTTTTCAGCAAGTAGATATCCACACAAGTGGACCTTGTTGGAGCATACGTAATCCTAAAATGTAGCATCGTGCTACAGATGGCGTTTACTGCGCCATTTGTAGTATTTTCTAAAACGCACTGTTAAGACAGCAGGTAAAAGTTGGTCTGTGTTCTGTCGGAGCTGCCTGCGACGCGCTGATGAGATCCAAAAAGATCGAAATCGCGATCCGCGTCTGGCAGTTTCGACAGAATACAGACCACTTCGAATTATTTTATTCGATTAAGCTAACGTGCCTATCACGTTGAGGTTGGCTACGCCGGGATTCGTTTTCAGCAAGTAGATATCCACACAAGTGGACCTTGTTGGAGCATACGTAATCCTAAAATGTAGCATCGTGCTACAGATGGCGTTTACTGCGCCATTTGTAGTATTTTCTAAAATGCACCATACTCTTTGAAAATGGCTCATTTGCCGAAACAATTGAAAACCGGTTTTTTAATAATAAATTCATTGCGAAACTACAAAATCAAGTGCTTTCCTTTAAGTTTTAATTTTTAATATTTAACAATTAATTTCTTTTCAATTTTATCGAAATGCATGTACCACTATTTTACTAATCAATTCGCTTTTCTGGAAGTTCATTCTTGTCACCGAAATAATACACGTATGCACCTACGAAGAGCCAAATGATAATCATATTCAGATGGTAGTTGTCGTTAAAGGGGAAAAACGACATGGAAACAACCGCAATTCCGGATATACGACGTGATGGAAATGGAAGCAAGTTATGTTCGTTTCGGAAATGTCGTGCTGGCAATAAGGTGCACTTAAGGATGTCGTTTATGACTGAGGAATATGGCGTTCCTGTTGTATTCGTCTTCAATCCGATAGTAAAACATCGATCTGCGTGCATTTTATGCAACAAGAGGGAGCAACAACGAGCAAGTAGGAGTCCTAGTGTTGTAACATCTGTTGCCCTTACCTATACTGATATAATTTGTATGCAAGTATATAAACAGCCTGAACATGAGTGTGTGATGTAATAAGCAAACTAACCGTTATTAGAATTAACCGGGACTTTACTTACGATTAGTAGTTGAACCTCAACGAGTAGGTAAATTCTAATTATCCTGTTCCTGCTGAAGGAAAATGGCTCGCTAACGATATAATTTTATCGGCATAGTATTCTAATGGAAACGTTTATTAACAACGCAACTTTATCGTTCAGATATACTGTTTTTTTTTATGTGCTAGAAAGGGGATGTGTTGATAAGTTGTCACCAGAAATGTGATTTATTTGAAAAATTTGCATTTAAAATGCAAATGCAAAATAAAAAATACCTATTTTTGTATTGCATTTAACAGGTCAATTGAAGTCCCCGGCCTAAAATAGTAAAACACATTTTTCTTGCAAAATTCGTTTTTTTTATTCAACATAATTCCCTTCAAGGGTGATACACTGATTATAGCGATCCTCCAACTTTTCGATACCATTTTTGTAGTACGATTTGTCCTTTGCTTCAAAATAGGCCTCAGTTTCGGCTATCATCTCTTCATTCGACGAAAATTTTTTCCCAACGAGCATTCTTTTAAGATCTGAGAACAGGAAGTAGTCGCTGGGGGCCAGATCTGGAGAATACGGTGGATGCGGAAGCAATTCGAAGCCCAATTCATGAATTTTTGCCATCGCTTTCACTGACTTGTGAGACGGTGCATTGTCTTGGTGAAGCAGAACTTTCTTTTTCTGCAAATGCGGTCGTTTCTCGGCGATTTCGTCCTTCAAACGGTCCAATAACGCTATGTAATAGTCGCTGTTGATGGTCCTTCCTTTTTCAAGGTA